CGTATATATATATATAGTAATAAAATACAACAAAAAAATATATAATATAATATAATATAATATAATATAGTATAATATAATATAATATAACATAATATAATATAATATAGTGTAATGTAATGTAATATAATACAATACAATACAATATCATATTACAGAAATGTAGTATAATATAATACCATATAAGATAATACAATACAATACAATAGAAGTGAATAGAATATAATATAAAATAGTTTAATAAATATAGTATAATACAATTTAATATAATATAACATATAGTTTTGCAAAGCTGGCCCATTTTGCGTCCACACCCTGAAAATGGCACGTCTAGTCCAGGGTCAGGATAATGACATCAACAGTCTGACCACTCTGCTGAGACATCTTGGTCGTTGCTTCAGGAACCTCTTATCAGCAGTACAAGAAACCCCGAAAACTCAGATACACGCTTCTTGTCTGTTTCCACATAGCCGCCGGTTCGCCGAGCAGCATTCACCTGCTGAATTTGTGTCCAGAATAGGTAGCTTGCCTCTCCTACACTTCCCGTTTCACAGTTGATATAATTTCTTTGCTGGTTTGCAGGTTAGCATTTTCCCATAATTTTCTAGTTAGCAACAAACATCACAACTTATGGATTCTCAACCCAAGACGTTGCTACATACCTATGTCGCTAGTGTTCTCAAACACTCTGACTCACTTGTCTTCGGTTTCTACATGGTTCTTTCTCTCTCAATCTCTCTCTTTCTCTCTTAGTGTCGATATTCCTTCTCTCCCTCTCTCTAACTCTCTCTCTTTCTCATGGCACATTTTCGTTGATATCTGTCTAGTTTCGTTTCTTTTACCCACACTCCTTCTTTGCCTCTGTGGCGCTTTTCGCACTCTTTCCCTTTGGTGCAGCTTTCTGCCACACCTTAGAGGAGGCGCAGCTTTCCCACAATGTTAACGTCTTGGCTCAACTTGCAGATTCTACCAGAAATGTTGGTGCAGCGAGCAGGATAGACGAGGGTATTGTTAGAATAAGTACAGTAGCAGGCCCTTGCTTTCCACGGACACGGGCTGATAAGGCTCCAGCAACGGGCTCCCAATCCTAGACCAGGAAAGCTGCGGAAAACCCACTGGTTGCATGAACTCTTTTGGCCATGATTGTCACAAAGCATTTCAAAAGTGGTATCACGGTGAACAAATTGCTGCTCTTGCTTGAGATCAGCATCATGGACTTTCAGGAACAAAGGCAGTCATTTGCTCATCAGCATGGAAGCTGCTGTGGAAATCATCATTCCAATCACCCTCATTGAAGCTGTTGTGTATCATTGCTCCAGTTCTCTCACAATACCTGTCGCTCGACCAAAACAAGCACGCAGGGGCCAGAGACTCGCTTTGCGTCTACCGGAAAAAGGGTCTAATTTTTGCTCGTTGGGTCTGCTGCGGCTCCCCCAGTTTCACGGAGTCCGGTTTCGACCGGGCTGGTTTTTAGGAAGACTCCTGTTCTTGGTGGGCACTGAGCCCCCATTGCGTTAGGTTTTTGGGATTGCCGATAGGCAGGCCGTTCCGCCTTCGGATGGTGACTTGGATGAGCCACCTGGCACCTGGCAGCGGATCGCCAGGCTGGCTCTTTCGGGGCAGGACGCTCTTGACCGGCGCACCTTCGCTTGGTTCCAACGTTTTCTTCAGAAGAAGGTCACGGTCCGCTACTTCATAGGCACCGCCCTGAACGGGATGATGAAGAAGACGATGAAAGTGGAGAAGGAAGAGGGCGAGGGTTCTCGGATTCCTTCTGGTAGTCCGGCAAATGGAAGTTCTTCATGAGGTTCCGATGGTTCGTAGTGGAGTGGAGAGTGGAGTGTGGGGAGAGTGGAGCGTGGAGTGTGGAGTGTGGAGCGTGGAGCGTGGAGGGTGGAGCGTGGAGCGTGGAGCGTGGAGTGTGGAGCGTGGAGTGTGGAGTGTGGAGTGTGGAGTGGAGTGGAGTGGAGTGTGGAGTGGAGTGGAGTGGAGTGGAGTGGAGTCACCCAACAAAACCGGCAACAGCACCAGCACGTGGCTTGGTACGTCATGGACAGGCTAAACCATATTCACAAAACAACTACCAGGCTGGAACATGGAAAGATCTTCGACACCTTCCTCCAGCTCATGAATTGCAGTAGCCAAGGCGGCTACGTGATGATCTTCTACGACAAGAGGATGGAGACTGAAGACCAGCCACACATGGCTTCAGTGACATCATCAACACCCTGAGCGCTGAATGTCAGTCGCCGGTACATGGCGCAGGGCGCACGACTTCATGTCGCAGCGATGAAGTTTGTGATGGAGACTGTGAGTGGGCTTCGGTCCACTCATCTTCTAGTAGCTCTTCAAGAAGACCAGGACCTGGAACCTCTCCTGGGTGAAGAGGCACTCTTCGAGGTGTGACATGAGTCCAATCTTGTGGTTTTTCTCCCAGTAGTCTTGTCGTGTGAGCCACTTTCTAGTTGCTCTTGGCTGCCAGCATTGGACGATGACGCATTGGTCGCTACTCCAATTCTCAGGTTCTTTGGTTCAATGGCCATGATCTTGGTGCCACTTGAGGGTTGTTTTCTGGCCTCTTGTCTAATGGAGTTAGCCTATAGGATGTCCTTGATTGTTGGCTTTGGAAAGACTTGCTGGAGTAGCGCCACCCGTCCTGCGATGTCAGGCCTGCTCTCCTTGGCGCCGATGCTGGCTCGGAGCTCCGAGACCTCTTATTCATCACAAAATGTGTATCTCGTGTTCTTCCGTCTTTTTTCAAGGTGATCTCAAACAATTTCTCTTGTACGTAGTTCTCTTGGCGCTGTAGTCTTCCTGCTCTGCTGAGTAAACCTCTTTCCAGTGAACTTTCCTGATCCATACTGGAACTCGCCAATTTCGCAATTGGTCTTGCTTTGTTCCATGGCTTGTTGATGGTCTTCGTCTCCACCGTGCAACAAGTCATCCGTGGCAACAGCGATGAGATCACTCAATGCGAGTTCTTGCGCTTGTTGTAGATGCACGGGTCAGCCAACGCCAACGACTGTTGGTAGGCCAGCTGGTTGGTCAGAAACTTTTTGAAGTCTCCCGGTATCCCTTCACGAGGTGGAGTGGCGTATGCTTGGGTGAAATCGAGGAAACCCAGCTTCCAGCGGTGACCATGAGCGTGCCTTCTTTTGGCGACAGGCTTCGTGGCCTCGATGTCTTCGGAGCCTTCTTCATTGAAGCCCTTCATGACGTGCCTGGCTTTTGCCTTGCATGGTTCTAGCAAATCCCACGGGGAGGGGGGGCGGTGGTTGTGCGGGAATTGACCTGTCCACAATTCTCAGGTTTCCCCCGACCGTTAATTGGATGGCGACAAACCTGGTTATAAATTTCACTTGCCACCCGCTTTGATGAACCCCGACGGCGCTGCTTGGAGGAGGCAGAAGGAAGAGGCAGGGACTGACTGTGGATCACACTTCCTGGCCATGTTTCGTTGTTGGCTCGGAGTCCTGTGAAGGTCTTCGTTTTGATGGCAGCTGTTTTCTTACAAGCGAGGGCGGCAGTTTCGCAGCGGGTTTCCTGACAATTTTGATTGTGGCAATTCGCGGCGCTTTGCAGCTGGCTGGCTGATTCCGCCTCTCCCTTCCGGTCTCGGTCGGCTCTTTCCGGCTCTCCCTTCCGGTTGCTGTCCTTGATGCTGGCTTCCTGGAACCACGTTTTGCCTTGCGTGGCTGACGAGGGTTAGCAGCGCAGTTGGCCATACCCATTGGCACCGCTACCTCCTTCTCGAACTTATGGGCACGACCAAAGACTGGGAACGGCGTCTCAGTGGTTGGTTCTCGGTCGCTATACGACTGCATCGACAATCTGGCTTGCACGTACTCTCAGGTTGGGGACCAGAGAACGGCAATTGATGTTGCGATATTGAATAATGATCTTTATAGATCAGGGGGATCACTTTGTTGGGTTGCTGGTGGTCACATGATCGCGGACCCCCTTACTAAAAAAAGGAACTCTTGGATACTGGTCACTCTCCGAAAGAGGCCATAGAACACAACGCAAAACGCATGACGTTCTCTTGGTCTCGCTTGGGCGTTAGAGTAGGGCCGGTGTGAAAAGGACACCTGACGCCCGTCGCTCGACTCAAGGCAAGCACTCAGGAGCCAGAGACTCGATGGCTTTGTGGAAAATGAGTCTTGTTCTTGCTTGTTGGGTCTGCTGCGGTTCCCCGGGGTTCACAGAATCACATCGGATCCCAGCCTGACGACCATCCAGTGAAGGCCCACTAGGCATCGCAAGTAGCAGCCTCCATCTTGTGCGAATGCAGCCATTTCAGTCCAGGGCAGGAAACCACGCAAATTAGAAACGCCTATATATATATATAATGAATCTGAATGATATATACCTTTTCAGGCCTTTCATGCAAACAGCAGTAGCCAGAACAAAGAGTCTTTACTCCACTTCAATCTGTAGACGAATGGGTCTTACTGCAGTGACTCGGGAATCTAAAGGGCGCCACTGCGTTACAGAGAGAGCACGCACAGACCACATGGATTAAAGAAAGCCAGGTCTCCACACCCTGTCCACGGTGTCACGCGTCTGTACTTGCTTTTTGCAACCAGCTTTGCGCCGCCCTTTTAGGCGTTTCAAGCGCTGCAAGAGTGCTGCATGGTTGTGGGATAGGAAATCAAAGCATTTCTGAGAATGAACCAATGCAAAACCTTCCTCACTAAGAATCAGGAATAAGTTGCAAAAAGTACAACAGTCTAAGAATTTGAAGCAACGCGTGTCTGACAACCTTCACTGACAATTTCACTGCAAGCTCCCTAGCATCTAAACCCTTCAGAAAATAAGGAACTAGCAGTGGTAAAGCCAGACTTGATAGAGCTTGTTAAAGTGGTGCTTTGGCTTGAGTTTCCCATAAAGCTTTGGCTCGACAAGCTCCCGATCCAACCATCCAATTGTTCCGTGAAGGTCCCAGTCTTCGGCTTCGGAGCTTCAGGCACTTTGGCCAATCTAATCGCAGCCACACCGCGTCATCCCCCCTGCTGGCGAATCTCTTCCTCAAGTTCGTCGATCTTGGCACCTAGGGAGCTTCTGAGAAATGCTACTGTCTAAGTCTAAGAGTCCCAATATATTATTCGACTGTCCTGACTGTCCTTCAATAGTCCAGTCATTGCAGTCAAAGTCAGCACAATTTCACGACAGTTCAAAATCTTCCAGCATCTGTGGTCAGGCAACGGATCCCAGGGTGGTCTCGGCCGTAAACCATCACCTTTAGTGCAGACTCCGACACGCAAGAACCAGAAGCAGACTATATAATTATGTTGTTGTGCCATGGTTCCTGTTTCATTGTTGTTGGTTAGTACTGTGGTCTGATTCGCGCCTCAGGCAAAATGTAGTCCCGCAGTGGCAGCTCCCTGAGCTATCAACGTTACCAGGAAAGGTGCTAAAAGATTTGAGCCTTCGTCATCTTGGAAGGTCTTACGACAAGCAACCATCCTCCAAATATTCCGTTGGATTTCTGTGGTTGTGAAATGATTATTGATGAATCTGTTGGATGCAAAGTAAGCTATCAGTTTTCGATCAAGAATATGCAGTGCCAGCCTGATGAGCACACCGTAAGCACGTATGTCGTCAGGATTGTTGATGACCCAATACTTTCGCTCGAATTCGTGTGCCTCAAAGTACAGCCACCAGTCTCAAAAACACGACAAGGCAACGCTTGCAGGATTTCAGCTTTTGACATTCACACTATTCACACTGAGGTCAGCACGCTCGGGTCTGTGATGGGGTTAATGGCACCAGGCCGAACCCGCAGTTGCAGCACAATTTGGACGCTGTGCCCTGCGGCTAGGAAGGACAAATTTAGTTGCATACCTGGGCGCTAGCCTTATTGATTTCGCTATGTCTATATATGATATGATATGTTTGTCTATATATATATATATACTCTACAAAAAGATCGGTCTTCCTTTGTGGCACCTCGTAGCAGCGTTGGCTTCGAATAGTGCTGTGCCACCTGACAGGTTGACCCGGGAGCACTGTGAACGATTCATTTACTGCCAACGGTTCATGGCTTTAGTAACTTTAGTAACTTTAGTCTTAAACTTCTCGGAATCCTGATCAACCCAGCGTTGCTTGCTTCTGCCGATGACCCACACCGATCCGCACGGTGTGTCCACAGGTGACCAGGGCGCCACAACTGCAAGGCATTAAACCAACATTACCAGCTACCATTATGCTTTCAAGGCGATACCTACCTGCCAAAGCTGCCAGATTGAGTTGGAGAAGTGACAATGTTGTCCTCTAGTTTGGAGCTGTCACATGGGATGGCAGCAGCTAGCAAATCGGCAGCCATGCAATGGACAAGTGTCCAAGCGTGACACTAGTATGCAGTAGGACAACTCAGACTGGACATGGCAGTAGGCAGATCTATTTTACAACTCAGACTTTCAGTCGTTACATGGGGGTTGTTCAAAAGTCCTTTCATTATGTTCCTGGCCTTTCGCAGGACCTTCGCGAAGCTTTCGCAAGCTTTCGCGCGTGGGGTTTTACCACTGTCGGCGAAAATGGTTTTTCGTTGGGGCTAGAGGCTTTCAAGGATTCATGCAAGTGCCCTGGCACGTCTTGCGTCCTCTGATCACTGACACATTGGTTGCTGAGGAACAAGAAGCCAGCCAACCAAACCATTTTCATTTTGGTGTGTTTTTGGTTGGCGGAAATGTCCATGAACAAGAGACGGCCCAGGCCAGTTTGCTCAGACTTCCAATTTGCTTTTTCCCGGGCCGGTTCAGACTTCCAATTTGCTTGTTCCCGGGCCGGGAAAAAGCAAAATGGTCCAGGCTTCCAATTTGCTTTTTCCCAGCCCGGGAAAAAGCACAATGGTTCAGACTTCCGATTTGGTCCAGACTTCCAATTGCTTTGTCCCAATGGTTTAGACTTCCAATTTGCTTTTTCCCGGCCCGGGAAAAAGCAAAAGGCTCGGCTCGGACTTCCAATTTGCGGCCCGGGAAAAAGCAAAATGGTCAAGACTTCCAATTTGCTTTTTCCCGGGCCGGGAAGAAGCAAAATGGTTCAGACTTCCAATTTGCTTTTTCCCGGGCCGGGAAAAAGCAAAATGGTTCAGACTTCCAATTTGCTTTTTCCCGGGCCAGGAAAAAGCAAAATGGTGCAGACTTCCAATTTGCTTGTTCCCGGGCCTGGAAAAAGCAAAAGGCTCAGACTTCCAATTTGCTAGCTGGGAAAAAGCAATTTGGCTCACAGATTCCCAGTGGCTTTCTCCAGTCTGGGAGAAATAATTTGCAACGGGAGAGATTCGAGCCCGCAACCTTCTGGTTCTAATCCTGGTGCCTTATCCATTAGGCCAGAGCTCCTTGATTTTAGGTTGTAAATCTGATACCAATTGCTGTTTGCATATTTTTTTGGGCCTCGGGGAAAAAGTTGAAGTCCGAACCAAATTGCTTTTTCCAAATTTGACTCAGACTTCCAATTTGCTTTCTCCCGGCCCGGGAAAAAGCAAAATGGTCTAGACCTTCAATTTGCTTTTTCCCGGGCTGGGAAAAAGCAAAATGGTCAAGACTTCCAATTTGCTTTTTCCCGGGCCGGGAAAAAGCAAAATGGTTCAGACTTCCAATTTGCTTTTTCCCAACCCGGGAAAAAGCAATCGGAAGTCTGAAGAGCAATTGTTTTTGCAGCGTGGCCAGGTCACCAACATGACTTGCGCAGACCTTTCGCAGGACCTTCGCGAACCTTTCGCGACTGCAGTGAGAGCACACTCGAAATCAGCCTTTGAAATTCGATTACTAACAAGGAAGAGGTGGGTTTTTGAACGACGCTCACATAAAGTTCCTGTCCCTGCATACTCCGCTGGTTCGTCGACTAGGCCGAGCGCATCAATGCGAGGTGTACAGTAGACACCAGCACCTGTCAGCCCAAGAAGAACAAGACTCTGCACCCTGCTGTCGTTCAATCAATAAGCAAGGCAGCCTGCTGCTGCTTCAAACTTTTGCCGCTCGCCAACTCTGAAACCTTTCAGGGTACAAAGCCGGAAGAGTTCATATTGCAGCATCCCGAATCCTTGCTGCCGTATTACGACGGCCACGAACAAAGGCCTGTGCACAGGATGCCACCAAGTCCTCCAAGAAAACTGTGTTTGAGGCTTTACGCATGGTTAGGCTAGCTCATGGCTTGCTCATGAAGTGTCCACTTCACACCTCCTATTAAGAGCAATCCTCTTCTGGTGGTGCAACCCAAGTGATACTTTTAGAGCTCTTGAGGCACCAAACTTGAGCCAATGGACAACCCCAAAAGTCCAAGCTTCATAAACAAGCCACAACGCAGCCCTTTTTTGGCCAAACAAATGCAAGTACTCTAACATGCCTACTGCTGGAGGTTTTTGCAAGCAAGCATCAACGCCCCAGACTGGTACCCCTCCTTCTTTTGAGGTTCCGTGGTAGGCCACTGCCCAGCCGCTCTCGTCCTCACGCAACCATGCATTGTCACCTTGGGCTTTACTTGGGAAAATGCAAACACAAACATGCCGACAATGACCCACAAGTTCTCTGCAAGTGCTCGCCCATTGGCCGAGAAAACTCTTGCATGCAGTATCATTCATTTGCGAGTGCCAGCATGACTTCAATCCGTCTGAGACTGAGAGTATTAAAGCCCTCAAGCTACGCGCAACATGTCACGCGCGCATGCCTGCCCTGCTTAGCTTGAAGCGACCAGTCGTTGGAGGTAGCTAAAGGTCAAAGGTCGTTAAAGGTCACGTCTAGTTTCTTGTTACTAGTAAGAATGCTCCTAGCAGCGATGCCAGGAGCCCCTAGTAGCGTCCTTCCTCCTAGCAGCGACGCCAGGAGCCCCTAGTAGCGTCTTTGCTCCTAGTAGCGATGCCAGGAGCCCCTAGTAGCGCCCTTGCTCCTAGTAGCGATGCCCTTTGCTCCTAGTAGCGAACATTGTTCCTAGTAAGCCAACTTTCTTCCGCCGGGATGCCTTCGTCGTAGACACCTTTTACCTGCACTGCAAAGCGCTTCCAGCCAACCGGCAAGAAGTACTCTCTTCCGCCTCATGCAAGGAACCAGCCAAAAAGGAATGCCAAGAAGTGGGGGGGTAGGCCGTGAGTAGAGGTAGTAGGAGCTAGGTATATAGCTAGTAGCTACAAGAACGCTACTACTTAGACTCAGGATAGTTCGCGCTAATGATTTGGTTCCTAGATTTTTGGGGAAACTTGAGGTTGGAGGCCATTAGGCTGGAGGCCATCGCTCTTAGGTTGGGAAATAATACATTGAATCTATGTTCTTTGAACTCGAAAGGGAACCCACTATTCCGAGGTGGAGAAACTATGTTGAAGATTTGTTGGTGGGTCTATGTATCAAGCGGGGCCTGGCTATCGTCGTCCTGGTATCTTGCCATATATGTTGTATCTAAAGAAAATGGCCAGTGTCAAGTTCTCTGCTGACGCTCCATCAGGGATTGAAGCGACCAGGGGCATGTTTGGATTACTATGTTGAAGCAAAACTTGATACACTCCAGTGTGTTCAAACATGCTCCCCGGTGCATACATATGGTGTGACCGCGGGCTTTTACGTATGATTATCATGCCATTGAGTGGAAAAGGGGGTGGATACATTATCCTTTCTTTCAAGTCAATAACAACTTTCTGCTGCGGTCCATGAACTCCGGAGGCCGTCGCAATTAGGTTGGAGGCCGTCGCAATATGGTTGGGGGGCCATCGCAATTAGGTTGAGGCCATCGATAATTAGGTTGGAGGCCATCGGAATTAGGCATCTCGAACACATTGGGGCGGCTGCAGTGAGACCGGAATGAAATGTTGAACGTATGGATGAGTGATCTTTCAACTCACCCTGCCCCGATGCGCTCGCTGGCGTTCCCGCTGCTCTTGCCAGGCCACATCCTCCTTGAGGCTCCATTCGTTGGACAGCATGAAGATCGTCAAGGCCTTGTTGTCCTTGTCCTTGGTGAGGCCGTCAGAGATCTGCTCTGGTCCTGGCACCCATCGGCACAGAGCTGGATTTGCCTCGTCCAGCAAGCTCTCCTTCATAAGGCAGTTCAACGATCGTTGTGGAAGACTTTATGTTTGGAGGGCGTCGTTCACCGTGCTCAGCTCAAATCCCATGGATGCCGCACTGGCCGCCTCAATGGCCATTGAAGAACGCACCACGCGCCTGCATGAAGAACTCTGCCATTCGACACAGTTCATCTTGGCACAGCCCTCTTTGATCTTGGCCAAGCCGACGGCCCAGCCCTGTTGCGACTTCCCTTCTGGAATCACGCCATAAGCTCAGCAGCTCCTGGAGTGCGCAGCCAAGATGCACGAAGTTGAGTGGCACATCCTTGCGCAACTGCCGGATGACTTGGTTGGCCATCCTTAGGTGTTTCACCTGTGGTGTCTTCATGCTCTGTTGAAGAAACGACACCAGGAACAAGACATGGGCGACTTTGTCTGGCAGCCCAACTCAACTTGCCATTGATGGAGCGGAGGTCGCTGATCTCGGCCTCAGTCAACACTCGAACCTTCACCTCGACCAGGTCAGCACAATATTCCGACATGGAAGCGCTGATCTCCCATGTAGAGACATCCTGCCTCAAATGCCTCCCCAATAACTTCAACCCATCACTCATAGGTGCCCGAACTGTCAAACGCCTCTCTGTGAGCGTCATGTCTTTCAAATTAAATCTCCCGCGTGGTCCAGGCTCTGGTGCAGCGCGGTGGCCCCTCTCCCACTTCATTATGGTCAACATCCTCGCGCCAGATGTTCCAATCTGTTGGCCCCCAGGATCCTTCGTCCACCAGGGATCGGTCGCTACATGCCATGTAGGCCATGACGACCACCTTGCTCAAGGGGTCCCATCAACTTGCACACCATGAACTTGACCACCACAGGTCCGCTGGCAAGGGTCAGAGGAACAAAGCCACGGATCAGCCGATCCTCCCATGCCTCACTCCACCTCTGCGCCAGCACCGGTGTCCTGAGATGGACGCAACGGTTCGAGTGTCTGCTGCACACAGCTCCAAGACCACCGCTCCGCTACCACTTGAAAAGGTCACGGGGTGGAGACATCTCGAACACGTTGGGGCGGCTGCAGTGAGACCGGAATGAAATGTCGGACGCATGGATGAGTGATCAGTCCAACTATAGGTTGGAGGATCGCAATTAGGTTGGAAGCCATCGCCATTAGGTTGGAGGCCATCGCAACTTTAGGTTGAAGGCCATCGCAATTTTAGGTTCGAGGCCATCGCAATTTTAGATTGAAGGCCATCGCAATTTTAGGTTGGAGGCCATCGCAATTTTAGGGTGGAGGCCATCGCAATTTTAGGTTGGAGGCCATCGCAATCTTAGGTTGGAGGCCATTGCAATTATAGGTTGGAGGCCATCGCAATTTTAGGTTGGAGCCCATCGCAATTAGGCTGGAGGCCATCGCAATTAGGTTGGAGGCCATCGCAATCAGGTTGGAGGCCATCGTAATGTGTATATTATTTTGTTGGGGGCCGTCGCAATTAGTACTTAGGTTGGAGGCCATCGCAAGTAGGTTGGAGGCCATATATAGCAAGTAGGCTAGAGGCTATCGCAATTAGGTTGGAGGCCATCGCAATTAGGCTGAAGGCCATGGCAAGTAGGTTGGAGGCCATCGCAATTAGGTTGGAGCCCATCGCAATTAGGCTGGAGGCCATCGCAATTAGGTTGGAGGCCATCGCAATCAGGTTGGAGGCATCGTAATGTGTATATTATTTTGTTGGGGGCCATCGCAATTAGGAATTAGGTTGGAGGCCATCGCAAGTAGGTTGGAGGCCATATAGCAAGTAGGCTGGAGGCTATCGCAATTAGGTTGGAGGCCATCGCAATTAGGTTGGAGGCCAT